ATGTCCTTGGTATATTGGGTCGTTGGTGCGATCATTGCTGGTGCAGGTTTTGCAGTATACGCCGAATTCGCAACTGCAATACCGCGTAATGGTGGAGAGTTGTAAGTGGGCTCGCAAGCTGTGCTGTGGCGCTACTTAATGAGGACAATGAACTGACAGCGTACGCGGGCACCCAGGAATTACTTGCAGCATGCGTACCGGAAGCCGAAATACTTAGTCAGCATCATGTACGGTGCTCAGGCACTTCTTCTTGGTCAAGGTCAGAAGCCATCACTCTCTCGTGCACACATCATTCTTGCTAACTGACATCGGATCCATGCCTCATCCTTGCAGCCGCGGGGAACGCATACACGGCTGGCCGCTACTTTATCCGAGCGGGCGGTGGCTTGTCCAACGAATGGGGTTCCCGTGGTATCGGTGTGATTGTGATAGCCTCGGCATTGATCATCCACGGCGCCTTCTTGAAGTGGGGTCTCCGCTTCCTCAAGTAAGCATATCCAAAGGCACTGCTACGAGTCTGCAGAAAGGCCGAATCGCTAACGGCCCTTTTGCGTGCTACAGCATCGTAGGAATGTTCAAGATCGTCATCTTGCTTCTGATCGCTTTCGCCGGCTTCGCTGCACTGTGCGGCCACACGATTGGCCCTGCGCCTCATAACTTCGCCGACGCTTTCGAAGGTACCCGTGGAGACATCTTTGGAGTGTCAGCCTCCATCTACAACGTAAGTTTGTCTCTTGTCACGCGGCTTATGCATACCGTTGCGCTCCATCGGATTTGCTGACTCGCACCCGCCCGGCTTTCTCTCGCCTGACAGGCTGGCTGGAGCTACGTCGGATACTCGAACGCGTTCTACGCCATGGGCGAGATCCGCAATCCACGGCGCACGGTCAAGATCGCCGGTCCGCTCGCTCTGGGCACGATTGCCGTCGTTTATCTGCTCGTCCAGGTCGCCTACTTTGCCGCCGTACCGAGAGAAGAGATTCTCGGTAGCGAGCAGATCATCGCTGCTCTTTTCTTCAAGCACATGTTCGGAGAGTCGTCTGCGCGTGCTCTTTCGTGAGTTTGTCTTTTGCAGCACTGCACTCCATCTAATCACATGCGGCGATGAGCACTGTTCTGAACACTTTTCTTGCTTGGATAGTGTGTTTGTCGCTCTCTCCGCCACGGCCAATGTCTTCTCTGTCATCTTCTCACAGGGCAGATTGAACCAAGCGCTCGGTCGTGATGGCATCGTCCCGTTCTCCAAGATCCTGGCCTCCAACCGTCCCTTCAAGTCGCCTCTCGCCGGCCTCTCATGGCACGTGGTGGTGACCCTCATCATCCTCCTCGCTCCACCTGCAGGTGACGTGAGTGTAGCTCTTCCTTCTCCTGCGCACGTCCATCGTTGGCTGAGCACCCCTCCTTACTATGCAGGCCTATAACTTTGTGCTCAACCTGTCTAGCTACCCGCTCAACATCGTTGACGCCGCCGTAGGCATCGCCCTCGTCACGGCATACTTGCCCGTGAAGCTGCGACCGGAATGGGCACGGGACTGGTCACCTCCATTCCGCGCCAGCTCTCCTGTGGCAGTCTTCTTCACCCTTGCCTCGCTCTTTCTCGTGATCACCCCATGGATCCCGCCAAAGAAGGTGAGTGACATTTACTATGGTTGTTCTTGCGCAAATGAGCTTACTCCCCTTTCTCTGGCTTCTACGTTCATTACCACTCCTTTCCAGGCGGCTGATGCTGTCTATGAGCACATGTGGTACGTCTGCGCTTAACGCAGATTCGCGCTCTAGCCAGATTTCGACGTTGTTGTACTGATCCACGTACTCTCCGATACCCTTCTCGCTTGTGCAGGTACGGCATGGCGCCCACCGTCACCCTCGGCATCTTCGCCGGCGGTGCAATCTACTGGCTCTGCTGGGCTAAGGTCCTACCCCGCGTTGGGCAGTACGCGCTGGTTCCGACGACGGTCGAGATGCAGGATGGAACCATCGCAACGGTCTTCAAAAAGGAGTCGCTTCATTCATAATATGGACAACAGACTAGCATGAAAGCTGCCGAGCTCGCTGTTTTTCTCCTTGTTAGCTTCATTTCAAGCAATCCGTGTATCACGAGGGCTATCCACTGTTACGGACACGAGATGATGATCGATCTGTGATGCCCCAGACAGCCGCAAACTATGCAAAGCACGAATCTGCTGGCAGCGACAGCCGCCGCGTGGGCGAAGAACGACCAGGCATAGCGCATGCGCGGCGGAGAGTCACATTGGCTTGTCCATCGTGTTTTGACACGCCCGCGCCCATGCGCAACCGACACCCCCATGCTCTCCCCGGGAGCGAAGATGTAGTTGTGCTTGGCTTATTCGGATTCAAAGTGTGTAACTGGGCGTGAACAGTTCGGTGGCAGAGTTGGCACACGCGTTCGCAAAGCTTGCATGACCAACAGGAACGCCTTTTCTCCGACCTTCAGCACATTTTCATGGCCCAGGAGGTCGGCGTCATGCGCTCGCAGCCACGGCCAACCGTGAATAAGGTCGAACCAGTCGGGCCTCGACACGTGCTGCGCAGCCACCAGCCGGGCAGTGTCATCTATATATTATAATGTCTTCTTCCGTCGAGTGTCGACACTCGATGGGCCTAGCTGCGAGCCTTGTCATAGCCACGACCTCGTCCCCGTCATCTGGCAGCATCTTTATTAAGCAATCGATCAGGAACATACTTATCGCCACCATTTAACAGTCCTGGCGCGTGCATTAGGCAAAGGTAAACCTTGCTAGGCTTGCCACCCCACGATCATGACATGCAATGCGCAGTGCGCTCTGAAAGGCAACGGCCTCCACGACGAGCCTTATGCACAGCGTGCTTTGTCCGTACGTGCTGCAACGATGACTGTATGTACTATTTCATTTTGATACCGACAAGAGGTGATGAGAAAATGTGACATCGAGTGGGACTCCTCCATTGGGAGGCAAAAAGTCATTTGAAACACCTATCGGCGGCACAGCAATTAGTGCAGAACCGCTCCAGGCTTTGGAATCGATGAAAATGCCCCCTCCCCCCCTCCCCCAATTGCTGCCGCATGTCAGGCATTCACCTTTGTACAGAAAGCTGTAAAGAGAGTGCAGGCACGTTGCAGAAGGCTGTGGACGTCACAAGGTGCTTCGTTGCGAGCAGGAGAGCGTATCAGTGGCAAGTCCAGCTCCAGCCTGCAGTGTATACACTGAATGTACTAAATGCAGAGAACGAAACCATAAAACGCCGCACAGGGACCGCCGATTGCTGTCAAAAGTGTCGAACCCGCGATCACAAACAGTCTTGGCGCCGCGCACATGAGCCCGCTACCCGTGCGCTGATGTCTGGTGTTTCAAGGCATGAACTCCTCTCGCCTCAACCCTGTACCTTTCAAGGCAGGCCATACAAACGTATGTGCTCTGACGGTGAGCGGTGACGATAGACGAGCTACATGTGCTGACCGACGAAGGAGATTTGTATTCCGACAGCCAGACTGTTCTACGTTCGAACGTCCAGACAATTCGAGCCGATTCAAGTAGTAGATTCCGTTTCGACCAAGGTACATGCAACAAGTGATTGCTGCTTCATTCTCATTGCTGGTGAGGGAAAGAAAAAGACAACGAATCACGTGACCTATGGCGAATGATCTTCAATCGCCAACCTAGAAATGGCATCTCGGCCTTTCTATCGACCTAACTCGCTCACGACGCATCGTCGTCGCAAAGTCTCCCAATGTGTAGACAAGCATGGCCAGAATTCATCCTCCATTCTTCTGTCAATCATTTTTGACAATCCTTCTTTGATGTGCCAACCGTAACCTATGTAAACACCCGTTGCATCTCTCGCAGAGCGCAGCAGTATCGCTGCCGTAGCAACGTTGCAGTCCCATCATCTGCATCTGCATCGCTGCCACGCTGCAAGGCAACGACGATAAAGCGCTCAACATGCCACCGCGAAAAGGCAGCGGTCCTCCCTTCGACGATGTGTCTGCGTTCTTAGAGCGTGGAAAACCTAGCTCAATTCGCGTTGCTGTCCCATCTCTTTCCTATGGGATCTTCGCTGCTTCTCAGTCTGCGAGTGGTAATCTTGGGTCCACGGAGGCAGCAGCAGTTGATTCATCAGGCGAAGCCCGCAACGCGGCCACACCAACGCCTTTCTCATCGACGACGCGGGGTGCATCGGCAGCGCCTAAGAATACGAGTGAGGATATCCTCTTGGACCTGATGGCCTACCAGCGGACATTCGACGGGGCGTACATGCGCACGGCGCTCAACGAACTTTCGTACGCCGTCGTCATTCTCAAGCTGTTCCAAAGCAGCTTCTATTACATCGGCCTGGCGATGACACTGTTGGCCCTAGCGTTCGCCGTTGTCGCCGTCCAACGCAGCAATCTAGGCCGTGACAATGCCAAGCGGATGGGTGAGGGTGAGAGCGCTGGCTTACAGTCTGGTATCGTGGGCTCTAGGCACGCATCGTGGCGGGCACCTTCGACGTGGAGTAGACTTTCACGGGAAGATCAGCAAAGGCTCGAACGTATGGACAACTTGGGGCAGTCCGTGCCGCTAGATGAAGCGGAGCGCCAGACGGACTGTCATTTACACGGTGTCTCGCATTTCAAGACCGCTGGGAACGTCGTTGCATTTGCAACGCTGGGAGCATTGGCTGTGGAGACGGCCATCTTGTGCATCATCTTGACTATGTAGAGACAAGCCATGTAGAGGGCATCGGGTTTATCTGTTGTAATACTATTACCGTTGAGCGCTCACTTCGCACGTGGATCCAGAGCACCTAGAAGCGAACTTCGCCATTTGGCTTCTGAGATGACCAATCGAGGGCGACCCCTGACCTTTCCCTCCAGCGCCAGCGCCGCAAGCTCCATGAACGACTTCATCAGCGCCATGTTTGGGTCTACTCCTCCGGCGCTTCCGTTCGACCTGCCGGCACCAGCCGCAGCCCTGGCAGCCTCGTTGCCTTGTTGCTCAAGCCTGACAAATACGAGTCGCTCGCGTTCGAGACCTTGGGCATGCACCATCTCGACACCCTTCTCGGCTGTGGCTTCGAAGCGGAGCAGAGCTTGCTGCAGCTCGATCGCCGCATTGCGATGTGCAGGAGAGAGCGCAACGATGCTGAGGGCGAGTCGTTCGACATCCTCTGCATGAGCCAACCAAACGACGTGAGAAGTGCAAACACAGCACGCGGCAGCTCGCTGGGGACTCACCTTGGGTTTCCTTCAGCCGATCCTTGAGAAGACGCTGCAAGGACTCATAGAGGTAGTTCTCTTCGTACACGCTACCTTTCCTACCAGACTCCTTCTTCTTCTGTTCCTTCTTTCGCTTGTCCTTGGCTGCTTTCCACTGCGTGTTCCTCGATCGATGACTGCTAGACGCCGTCGTCGTCGAAGTGAGAGCCTGCGTGTAGCGGGTGAAGTGGGTGATCTGCGTCGAGGTGTCGGACATGACCTCGATGTTGTCGAGACCGCGATTGTCCTCTTCCAGCAGTAGGCCATCGCTGCTCTCTTCAGCTTTGCTCAGGAGCTCGCATAGCCTTGCGAATTGCTTTGTCAGCTGCTCCTGCATCTCGGTGATGGTCTCCAGCAGCGTCGTGTGTGCTTCGAGCGTTTGCGGCTTGATCGTGGTCTCCACCAGGTCGAGACGACCGTATAGCGCGCACTGCATAAGGAACAGCTCGTGAGCTTTCGAAGAAGCTTATCCCGGTGCTGTATAACAACTCACGATCCGCTTCGCCTGCGCAATATCATTGGCTTTGCAGAAGAACATGACCGCGCTTTCGACGTCTCGCAGATGCCCAAGCGAGACCTGGGCCGCATCTGCAAATTGATTAGACGTCTCTAAGTCTGCGATAATGGTCCTCGCCAGCTCTGCAACCTCGAGGGCAGTGAATCGATGACTGACGGCCGTCGCGAGCGCATCCTGCCAAAGCCCTGCGTTTTGGTATGCGTCGGTGGCTTTGCGAGGTTCTGAAGCTAAAACGAATGCTGAAAAGCGAGAGATGATAGTTCAATGCCCGCCTCCGCAAATGAAAAAATACCTGTAGCACTCACCGACAGCAGCATCGGCTGGCTTCGAGCGCCCCATCATCCAGTCACCGTATAGCTCGTATGCCTTGCGCATGCGAGGTGGATCTTTTCCAAAGGCAACGAACCCTTCCTCAAAGAGCTCATGTTTCTGCATGTACTCAAAAGAGTGCTGATGATGCGCTTCACCAGCCTGCGAGAGCCAGCGGAAGGCCTTTTGATGGCGGCCCAGATGGTCGTCGATCTGAAAGCGCTGCAGCTGCACCGGTTCTACACCACGGAGTTCGCGCAAGAAAGGAAGGTACTCGCGTGGATCTTTGCGAGTTGCGTGCTGGGCAAGCATGAGCGCAAGCGTGAAGTCGTACATCCCTAACGCGACGTCGTATAACTTCTCAGCATCCGCTAAGAACACGATATACTTAACTGCTTCGGCCGCAGCTTCAGCATCTTTGTCTGCCATGCAATCGAAATATGAGCCTAGAGCAGACTATGTTCAGACCTTGGCTGCTCACCTTTCAACTCAAGGAGCAAGGACAAAGCTCCTTCGTAATCCGGCGGAGTTTGTCGCGCGTATGACGTCAGGATGCTCTGTAGGTATTTTGAGCTATCTACGCATTCCAACTCGATGCGCAGAGCCTCGCAAATCCGATTGGTCTTGCCTTCGACTGAAACCTGGCTGTCAGAATCTGGCTTTGAAGTTGACGAGTACGCCTTGTAAAGTGTGCTGGTGACGTCTTCATCCTTCAAGCTTGTGAGGAAGAGATTGAAGTGGTCGACATCAGCAACCTGCCTGATGAAGGGTTGCAAGTTAGCCATGAATTCCTGCGGACAGTGATCGTGCAGAATATTCAGATCGAGTCGATGGGTCCTGCAGACACGCAAGGCCGAGCGATAGCGCTTTTTGTTGAGGTCGCGTCGCACGACTTCAAGCACCAGAGGTCGTGGATTGATCGTCTCTAAATTTCCCCGTGGCATTTGCAGAACGAGCGCCATTTCAGACGGCACGGCTGTGACGATCCTGCTTCCGCGCTCGACTGATCGGTGCAAGGTGTGCACCTCGCCAATGTCAAGGTCAGTGGACGTGTTCGTGCTGGGGACAAGCGCCGACAACGGCAAGAAACGTGCTTCGTGCGAATTGTTCGTCCATACCAGAAAGCTTCCTGCGACAGTGTACGAGTTGACGCCTTGGGCAAGCAGTGTTTGATTCGCATAGAGCCGACCGTTTGGCGCCAATCCGAGAATTGTGGGTGAAGATGACAAGGGCAAGGCGATCATATCTGAGCAAAAAGTGGGCAAAGAATTTTGCAGGGCCATTGCTTGAGCGCCTTTGAAAGCGGGGACTTGCTGAATCACCAGGCGCCGATCGTCGCGTCGCTCATGGACGAATATGAAACTTGCGGCAGAATGGCTTGAGGATGGAGCCGTAATGAGTCGAGTGCGGGAGACAGCCGTTCCGCTGCAGATAGTATGCTCTGATGTGGCCACCGATGCTGTACCGCTGCGTACGCCACGGCGCCACGTATAAATCCGAACTAACGCCTGGTTTGAGTCCTTCAATAGAGATACGCTTGCCACTGAGACCTCGACATCATTCTTTTGCTCACTGGAGTACTGAGCTAGCAGCGCCACTTGTATTGGTCTAGAGCGCTCTTCCTCAGCGTTTGCGGCATTGAAGCGAATCGCTCCGAGCCGCAGAGGTTTCGGTACGGGGCGCCCACCAACCGGCGCCCGCCTACCCAGGATACCCCAGTCAAAAAGCACAAGTTCGACGCTCGTGTCCTCATACAGCATCGCAAGAACATCGGTACTGTGCTGCAGGGATCTGCCTCCAGTCTCGGTGGCTCCTGCTGTTGCCGTGGCGGACGATTGAGAGGGTGAAACGCTAGCCCAGGCGTAGTGGATAGGAGTTCGCGACACTGGCCCTGCTGCTGAAGCAACAAGCGTTGTGGTGCACATGGGTGGTGGGATATTCTGCAGTCGGAATGGCGTAAGCAGCGTAGCGGTGCCATCGGCGACAGCAACGCAAGCGGCATCAAGCATCGGCCCGCGCTTGTTGCCTTGATGCATGTCGCCACCAGTAGCAAGACTGATCGTAGTGCAAGTCTCATGGGTAAGCGTGAGGTGCGTCACACTTTGTTTCTCCGCAAGGTAGAGCTGCATAGCATCTTCTGGATGCCAGCGGACGACCGCGCTCGGCATGCCACTAAGAGGGGGATCGGACGAAAGAGCCACCTCTTGCTTCAAGTAGTAGTGATAGTTGCCCATCGTCCAGATTTGCACGACTGTGCGCCTAGTGCCTTGGGGCGCATCGGGAAGACTTCCTGTGCCTTCCTTTGCATCTTCACGCTCGAGCACCACGGCTAACGCACTTCCATCGACGTTCCACGTCAGATCGCGCACGAAGTGCTGTCTCTTCCAGGTTTGCACTCCGCGTACTTCCGCTTGTACCTGTTCCTGTGCATCTCCAACGGGGAATGTCAACCCTTTCGGCTGGGCTGAGCCTTCCTCACGGAGTGTGAATTCGCCGTGTCGCAGCCCATTGCGCTCGAAAAAAACGACATCGTGTCTGCCTTCTCGCCCGTGTGACCATTGTACCTCCCTATCCTGCGCCGTTTTCAGCTTGCACCTGCCAAAGCGCTGTGTCGTAGCGATCAGATTTCCAAGAGGCTTGTACGCTAGCGCTTGGCTGATGCCTCGCACGCCAGCATCACTGGTGCTTGACAGAGCGCCACTGCGTGTGAACACTCGAAGGACACGGTTCCAAGCGGTCAGATCGCGTTCCCAACCGTTCCCATTCCGTTGATCCGCAGCAGGGGGGGAAAGATCCAGCGATGAGATGGCAAAGAATGATGCGTCGCCTTTCCAGCTTATCCGCGGTCGACCATCATCGTCGAGCGTATGCGGGCCGCGTGTGGGACGCTTCGTTACGCCCGTCCCTGACAATGAAGCCGATTCGGCTTCAGCCGCGGCTGCTGCAGCCTCCTTGCCTTCCGAACCGTGAAATTGTGTGGCTTTTGAGCCCCAACCTACGTCGACAGGTTTATCTGTGTCGGGAAGAATAACTTGTTAGCTTTTACTGTCCGGCCCTGTTTTTGTATCGATGGGATGCACTCACCCTCTCCAAATTCGTCCGTCGCTAGCGCCTTTTCGGAGAGAACCTCGAATTCCTTCGTCATGATGAGAACCTTCTCTCCCTCCCAACTGTTCCCTTCTCCATCCCTGACTCCTTGACCATTGGCTTCAGTAGGCTCGAGCGTCGGTGCAGTGACCACGACCAGGAAATCCTCATCAGGACTCCATTGCGCAGCATATATTCCCTGCTCTATGCTACCGACAACTTCTAATCGAAGCTTGGGGGCGAAGGTGGCGAAACTTGATCTGGATGGCTCGGCTTGCGCGTCACCAGCGCTCGCGCGCTCGAGCGCAGCCTCCTCGCGCGAGGGCAAAGGTCCAAGAAGGATGTCTCCACCAGCTGTTATGAGACATAGTGCAGGCCCGTGATCAGACATCGTACCGCCATCGTTGAGATACTGCAAGGAAATGATCTCGATCTCGGTGCCTTGAACGGTGCCTGCGCCATCTTCGTCGCCTAGGGGGTACAGGTACGAGCTTCGTGTGGGGAGCAGCGAAGTCTTTTCTGAGCGTTCATCCCGGTTGAATGGACAAGGGTTGGCACAAAGCACAACACTACATGGTGCAAATGACGGTGCTGGTGTGCGGGATGAACTCCCGGACATTGAGCTCGAGGCATAGCAGTCGGCCGGAAGTTGGTGCCAGACGTGGATCTTGACAGAATCTGTTCTCTTGCCGTTATATGAGCGGTCGACCCCTGCGACATAGACTTCATCCGTCGTAGAGGAGACGGTGATTGCTTGAATCTCGCAGTCTGCATGCGTCGCTGGCAGCGCTGACGCTGAGCTCTGGCCCGGAGAGTTGCCAGCAGCGAGCGTCTCCCGGCCAATGATGCTGAGGTTCCGCATGGTGGAGGCCTTGGCTGCTATTCAAGGGGTACAAGCAGCTTTCCTGGCGCGATCGGCTCAGGGCTCACAATTTTCAACCGGAGCCGAGCTACTTGCAACTCGTACAATAATGAACACACATCTGGATTCTGCCGTGCCAGAAGTCGAAAGGGAAATTTGAGCATAAAGCAAGTTGTGGGGATATGTTCTTTTGGCTGTGCGTCGGCAATTTCAATTATGGCTTGAGGCCACGGGGACAAGACGGGGCTGGTTGGTGCCGTGATTTATTTGCTGTTCCGACGTTGTTGATAACCCTACAATACTGGTCGTATCTTTTTAGTTATCGGCAAGCAAACGAACACGCCTCGACGTCAGTTGGCATCGTGCGAGGAGACCGAAAGTGGGAAACCTGGCTGGTGCCCGCATGTGCACGAACACCCCCCCTCAAGGCATTACCGCATTTTTAGAGCCGACGCACACTGGCTGATTGCACCGAATCAGTCTATAACGCAGTTCTAAATTGCTGTTCTCCACTCCTCAGCTCAGTCTGTGTTGACGGTACAGCCAGATTGCTCATCAGTCGTCACGGACAACGTCGAATCGGCATGCCAATTGCCAAAGAACGTAGTCTTGGATTTGCGGGGCACTGGCCCTTGTCTCACTCCGACAATTTAAGGGATAGGGCAATTGCTAGCTCAGTCGACGTATAACAGGAAATTGGGAGTCTACTTGTTGGTATTGAACTGCATCCCGAAGCAACCTTCGCAGATCAAGACCGCGACTTGTCACTTCATACTATAAACATGGCATCGCACGTCCTCGACCCACAACTGCACGTGCTCCTACGTGTGCGAGCACTACAGGCGATCGTGTACGGCGAGGCAAAGCCAGACTCACAAGACGATCCGCTCTTGCTGCATCTCGATGATGACGCAACAGAACCGGGCGCGCAAGAGACCAGCCGAGACGTTGGTGGCGAACGTGAAAGAGCATCAGCCTCAGCGGAGCAAGGCATGCCTCCAATCGCGCACCAAACGCGAGGATCACTCGCACTGCGGACGCAACGAGCTCAAGAGCAGCTTGACATGTTTGTAAAGCAAGAGGAGGCGCAAGCGATTTCCACTTTCTTGGCGCATTGTGAGGCTTTACGGTGAATTACTCTTCTTGTACCTTTCTGACCGAATTTTTCCTTTGCCGGGTTGTGCCATCTACAAAGATGACCGTGACGCAGCATACCTCTCGCCCTCATTCCTGCTTTCCGGCTTTTTGCCGTATGCAGATTCGCAGCTATCATTCTCCGACCAGGCATCATTATCATCGTCACTACCAGCAACCTCAATAGGTGGCACGCCAATCGCGCCTGAGTCGCAACTGAGCCTCATGCTCGAGCTGGCGCCCGTATGGCGGACGTTTGCAGTTCAGCTCGAAGAGTGTGATGTACTCGAGCGGAGGGGTGTCCTGCAAATCTTCCCCGCGTCCTCTATGACAGTCACTGCCACGGCCAGTAGCAACGAATGGCCGCTGAAACCTGCTTCTTCCCGTGCGAATGGAGATGCCGAAAAACAAATAGTGGAGATGGACATGTGCCTTTCTGTATTCAGCGAGGGGAAACAAGCGCAACTAATACGAGAGCAGCAAGCGCTCGAGAAGCGACTCGCCGCCTTCTTGGACACTTACTCGAATTACGTGAGTGCATCCGCGGGGAAATGTCTATCAACGTGAGAGGCTCATCGTTGCGACGCCATTCCTACCACACTGTGCCTCGACGCCACGCCATCGCTCTATACCCCGCTACTACCCGTGATGCAGGTCGATTCGATGAGTCAGCTCTTCGTGCAGTGGGACCAGGCCATGCTGGACATGGAACGCTCCGTCAACAGGCTGGAGGTGCAGCAACGGCGCAGATTAGAGGCCATATCTGCATAGCCCCGGCATGGGCCCATTTATATATATCATAAACTGAACACACTAAAGCATGTTACCCTGGCCGAATCTGCAGGTTTCTCAACGCACATGGTCGCTCGCTCCCTCCCACGAGAACGCCCTCAAAGGGTTTAGTACACTTTGAATGTCTTTAGTAACGTTTGTGGTCAAAATCTCTGCAAAAGTGCATTCAATCCATATGAAAGAGGCCCGATCGGTTCCGCGCAGGGAATGTAGGGCCCTTTTTAAACCCTCAATTCGAGGTTGTCCCGTCTTACAACTTTTGCTGCGCCTTCGTTTGCGCCTTGTCAATACCATCCTTGGCGACATCACCCGCGTACACAAAGCCCTCCTTAGCGCTCTGGCTCGCCCTATTGCCCATGTTCTGCGCGCGGTCGGCGACATTCTTGGCGTCGTCGGCGAGGTTGCCGTACTGCGCTCTCGCCTCGAGAATCTGCGCGTCCATTTGGTTCTGCGCAACTTCTGCGGCGGCACGCAGATTGACCTTCGCGCTCGAAGCGAAAGAGGAGGCTTTGGCCTCCATGTCGCTACTGGCGCTAACGAATGTGGGCTTGATCGAGTCAGCGGCCGCATTGGCCTCATCCTTGGTGGTGAACCAGCCGCTCTGTGCGAACTTCTTCGCCTCTTCGGCCTTCTTCTCAGCTTCCGACTTGGCGCTGGACCAGCTCGATTTGGCCGAGCTAGCCGCGTCTTTCGCCTTGTCCCTGGCCGCGAACCATCCCTGCTTGACTTCGTCGCTAGCCTCGCCCGCAGTGGCCTGCGCCTGGTTGTACGCGTCGCTGGAGCCAAAGAGGACAGTCTTGATCTGATGGAACGCGCCACCGCGGACATGCGAAAGGGAGTAGCGCCCCTGCACGACGGCATCGGCGCCGAAGATGGCGCCGAGCAGGCCGGATGTGGCACCCGGTGCTCCGGCCACCCCGCCGCCGTTGATATCGACCTCCCCTGTAGCGGCGCGCAGTGGTGAGGGTGCGCTGCCCGTGACACTGAACCAGCCGCGGCCGTTGACAACCTCGTTCTTGGGGTTTTCGGCCCGGCGCTCGAGGTCCCTGCTGGTGCCAACGATGTTGCTTTTCAGGTTGGAGAGCTCGGAGGAGATCTTGGACTGGGCCGAGCTGGCCTTGTTTTGGATGTCCTTGCTCGCTTTGAACACGCTCGTTTCGAGGTCAGAGAAGTCGTCTTGCTTGACCTGTAGGTAGGGTGTCCCAGTTAGCACATATGTGAGCACTGTTGGCGTTGGAGCTGTGCCCTACCAGCCTCAGCGAGAGCCTCGACTCACTTTGGAAATGCTGTAGTAATAGACGCCACCTGCAAACCCGACGATTGCAAGGCCTGTGATAGCGTTGCGTGCGAAGAACGGACGCCTGGCTCGCTTGAGCCCCTCGCTGACGCCATAGCCGTTTGGATGGTACGTCTCATGCGTCGAGCGGGCATTCACGGTCGACCTGCTGAAGTTGGGGCCGGCCGAGTTGCCTGGTTGCTTGGGAGGTGGGACGCCAGACATTTTGATCGAGCTCCTTGGCTGGTGTTTAGCTGGGGAATAATCGGCTCTTGTGCCAATGCGCGCGTGAGATACCAAATGCAATGGTATGTTTCAAGGGTAGGTGGATGCCCGGGATGTGTGAGGGTTGCAACCTTGCTCTGGGTCGGGAAGATGCACTGCCGCCGAGTGAAGTAAAGGTACCAAGCAGTTAGAGTATGTGATGATGAGTTCCACAAGCAACTATTTGGTGCAGCAGGCCAATCACGCCAAAAAAGGCAAAAGGCGAATGACAAGGCAACACTCCCACTCGCATGCCAATAATAGGTGGAAGTCTGCTGAGTGGCGCAGTTCTGTGTGTTCTCTTCGTATGCATGACGTCAGTGAGCAGTCTCTCCCTTGGGTTGTTGATTTTTGTACCATAAGAATATCTTGCTTGTGTACTTTGACAAGGGCAATGAGCTCGTTCCGCTCCTCGTTTCTAAGGTCAAAGCATAGACTTCGTACAAGTTACTTGCTTCACTTCGCCTCTGGTATTGTCCATCCGATCTATGCTCTTGCACGGCGCATCTATCACCTATAGCATGTGCAGATGTGATTATGGCCTCCTAGGGCTTGCTGTGCAGGTCACACTAGCAATCCACAAATGCACCTAATGCTTCTTGTCGACCTGGCACTCGCCAGCAGGCCAGAGATCCCTACTTGCTGCCGTTCAAGGCGCGGCTGTTGACAATTCTCTGCCTTCTCCAAGTCGGAAGGCTCGCATATGATTCGCATTGCTAACTACATACACTATTTATTCAGTTGGGTCCTTAATCCACAGCTAGAGTTTGTGCATCATCCAATTCATGGTGATGCGGCTCAATGGACTACAGGGGCTGACCCTTCTCGTCACCATATGCTTTCGTATAGCACATATCCTCCTCATAACCATGTTAAACACCCATCAATTCCATGTATCAAGTCGTCTTGGACAATCACGTGCAAGTTTCAAAGTCCAGCTTGACCAATCGATTAGTGGCACTTTCTCCCTTCCGCGCTCAATGGTTCCCCCATCTTCACACCGTCTCCATCTCCAACATCTTCTGAGAGAGAGAACGATGCATAGCGTCAGAGAGTATATGGACGTTTGGCTGATGAGGTCTATCACCGCGAGTGACTAGTGAGTTCTGTCATTGACGTTCATGGGGCGTTAGCACCACTTCCGCGCCGAATGTGACGAAATGTGTGTAACCATACAGCGAAAAGATGTCTACAACCTGAAAGCTTTCACGCGTATCTGAGCGGCACTTACACCATCACTTTTGAAGATTTTGAGCCTGTAGTCAGCGGTAGAAGAAGATGTGCTTGTCTAAATATTTACATTGAAGAATCAGTATCATTCAAGTATGTTTCAAGCCTGTCGTTCCATTCGGTTTCCAATCCATGCCATGCTGAGTTACCTTCCTAAGTCGAACGTCCTATATCCTAAGGTGCCTTGGTGTCAGTTAATCCGTCCTGTCATGTGCCTCTGAAGGTCAGCGACGCACCAGGTTCGTGCGCCAAACATGGCATATGATGTCACCGGTCGACAGTCGGCCGTCACCAGGAGCGACTAACGAAGCGTTCGGCCGCAGCGGCAAGCGTAGAAACACAGATCGGGTTCAACTTTCATCAATCAGCATCCTTGCTTTACATGTGAGTGCAGCCCTCTTCTCGTTTCGCATAAATAGTAATCACACGCAAGCCATCACATTCTCCCAATGTCTCTAGTCTCACAAATTCACAGCAGTCTCTGTCCAGAACGTGATTCGCACCTGACCGTGCTGCTTCCGACTCTCTGTTCTCTGGAGGTCTTGCGCTCCCTGCCTAAAAGTGAGCCCCAGAGATATCTGAGCCAGCCCCCTCCGCCGATTCTCAAGCAATATCCTCAATCTCCCAGGTGTTCGGGGGCGCCGTCTTCTAGGAGAAACCGGAAGGTGTCTACGATGAACTTGGCGAGGATTCCGACCCGCGGTGACGTTGCGTCTCTCTGACATAAAGGCTTCGTAATGAAATAGTTGTCCCCCCGAGGGGTATGAAATCTCTGCCTAGTCATGCTTTGCGTCAGCATCAAGTACAGAGCTCTACGTCCGTGATAAGCAATTTTTGGTCGAAGCTTCGACGAACGATGGATGAGGTGTTCGACTTCGATGCCTGCAGCTCTTGCGTTAACATGCGGAACTCATTCGCTCAACTAGTTGAATCAAGCCATCTCATACGGACATGTTCGCGCGCGCCAGCAGATGTGATTATAGGCCATTCATTGGATCTTCGTCAAGGTTGTTCCCTTCTCCGTGTGCTCTTCTAGAGTTTGCCCTCCCGTCTTTGCGAGTGCGTTGGAACCCTTCGAGATTCTGGGGAGGTCTGGCTGGCACCGTTCGTGCGTTTGTTCATGCTCATGCTGCTGCTTCTCCAAATTGATTAGCATGGTTTGTATATTCATCAGCGGCTTCTAACTGTCGATGGGCGTCGTTTCATTGGCACCTTGCTGCTACAAAAGGTTGATCAGCGAGACATCAACAGGGGACAGTTGAGCGACTCGCTCGTTGCCAAGCTCCTGCAGGATTTCTTTGAGATTTTCTGACTTTTCGCCAGCATTGTGACAGGTGGTGGGCCTTCTGGTAGTACCTTGATAGCCCCAGGCTGCGCCATGATTGTAGCCTGTTTTAGTTATCCTTACGGGCCGCTAGGTGCTCAGCACGGTCTCTCAAGGAAGTGGAAGGGTGTTCTTCTTTGCCGATCTGTTTAACACTCTTGTGCCCTGCCACTTTCCTTTAGATCGTGTTGAAGTCACTGTGGAGCGGCATGGTGGCACAAGGTTGCTCGTCCAGCCCTTACGATCATGATACAGCCTTGCTCAATTTTCGACATACGAAGAGGCAGTCAATCAAAGAGCACCCAGAAAAGTTTGTATTCAATGAAGAGTAAGATTGATTTGGTGCCTCAAATGATGACCGACCGAGATCTAGTTGAGGATCCCGGGCGCCGTCCTCATGATGTATAATGAGGAAGAAACAAGCTGATGTGCCGCACAAGTGAACCCAACATGGATAGTCAGCAGTGAAGGCGTGAAGCCATTTGGGCGAAGTTGATGTTTCGTACTGAGAAGAGTGGGGCGGAATGGTCGCAAGCCTTTGTCAAGGCCACGTAACAAGACTGCTTCCAGTACTAAAATCAATAACCCACCTGTAGAGAAAGGCGGATAACCTCACAACTCACAGCCAAGGGCTACACGTGCCAAGGAGTGTGGGTAGAGTAGGGTTCAGGGATGTTCAATGTGTATAGTTCCCAGCACGAAGAACTAGCAAGTCGCGTCGTGTGTGTTCAGACGCGACGCGCTCACTCGCGCAGAAAACGCTCAAGTCGCGAATCTATGGATGGGTGTGGCAAGTCAAGCGCATCGCGGCTGGCAAGCCGTTTTGAGTAGGTAGATAGGATAGATACACACACACGCTGCCAGGCTAGAGCATTCAAAGCTATTGGACCGCAACTTGTCTCCTCCATCGTGGTGTGCTGCCCCATTGACAACTCACATCAGGCCCAGTTCAGCGAGACGACGCGAGTCCATCGCAGGACCGGTTCACGCTTCACGCGCCACGGCCAGAGTCGTTCCCATTGCTCAGGGTTCAGCAGGACCACTCGTCACCATCGCTATGTTCAGAGGATCAGCAGCGTCGTCCAGCACAGTCAACCCGGTTATCGCTGACATTTTTAGCGGCAGCCATGGAGCCGCGTTCCAGCACCCGGACACGTTTGCGCCCACATCGCTCGTTGGCTCTGGTGGGGGCGGCTTAGGAGCTGGAGCTGCGACCGGCGCTGCTCTGGTCGCCGTCGCAGACGTAGCCCAGCATTCGACCAGAAGAGGTCAAAGCAAGCACCCTTTCCGGTTGAATTTCTACCTCGCTCCGCCCGTGCAAGGTTTGGAGATATCCATTGAAGAGTTTGAGATGTGGGCGCTGGATAGGCTCAGAGGTGAGTGGCCACTCTAATGCGTGTCTTGCGTGTCACTCGAGTACTGAGGACCGATGACCTCCCCATGCGCGTCTTTGTCCAACCAGTCCTTGCGGAGATTGAGTCTTGCCAGGCGCGAGGCAAGCCCTATCCGGAGATCATCAAGCACATGAGCGAGCAACTGAAAAAGTACATTCCACTCTCTTCCAACACGGCACTCAACGTGAACCACTTCAGCGAGCGCGAGAAAGACCATATCTCACATTTTGTCCTGCGCCTCGCTTTTTGTCGCTCGGAGGAACTGCGCCGCCGCTTCGTCAAGGCAGAGACAATGCTGTTCAAACTGCGTTTTGACGCGGACGACACGCGCGAACGCGAGGCGTTCCTCAACAGCTTAAAACTCGACTGGCAGCCTGTCAGCGAGGAAGAGAAGGAGCGCCTGCGGCCGCAGCTGCAGAGTGCCAGTCCGCGTACGAGGAAGAGCTGGCCGACCGAGCGGTTCTACAAGGTGCCTTGGCTCAAGGTCCCCGACCTCATCGAGCGCAGACGCGTCTATCTTCACGCCGGCATGGCCTACGTCCCCGCCGCCGAGCAGAGCAGCTTGGTCCTCGCTGAATTCACCAGCAGGCTCGAGCAGCAGATGGAGCTCACTGCGCGCCACATCCCACGCAGACTCGACCTCGACGAGGACGAGCGGCTGATCCCCATCCTCGAGCATCTCTCCATGGGCCTGCTCGTTGGTCTCTCCTCGGCTTCTGCGACCGGATCGCACGCGCTCTTCGGTCCAGATGCTGAGGGAAACGCTGGACGCATCACGTGGAACATGATCGATGTCCTCGTTAAGCGTCACGCGCCTATGTGCGTGCGTAACCTCCAGGAAACGCTCAACACCAAGCACCACCTCAAGCACTTGGGCCGTCTGCAGTATAATCTCTTCCTCAAAGTACGTGGCTTGTCCGACCCTTCTCGCGTTTTGGTTGCTTGCGCGCCGATGCACATTCTTGATTTCATATCCTGATGCATTCTTCACTTTCTCGTAGGAACTCGGCTTGCCCATTGACGAGGCTCTGGTCTTCTGGCGCAAGTCCTTCTCCCTGATGACAGATGATAAGTTCAACAAGGAGTACCGCTACAATATCAGGCACGGCTACGGCATGGAGGGTGGCAAGAAGAATTACCCTGCTCCTTCGTGCGTATCTTCTCCGCCTCGCAGTATGGATGCCAATGGCCAAGCTGACGTGCTTGCTTTTCCCATCTCTGTATTCCGAACACAACACGTTTCAGATGTGCTAAGATCCTCACTCAAAACCAGCCGGGACCGCAAGACACGCACGGCTGCCCTTTCCGGCACATGGGCACCTCCAATCTGCAATCGGCGCTCTGGACACAGTACGGCGTGACGACGGGTGAGGCGGGCGACATCATGAAGGCGGTTAAAGATGGGCACTACCATATCGGTTGCACGCGTCTCTTCGAAATTACCCACCGCAAGCGCGGGCGCGGCGGGCTCAAGAAGGGCGACGGGCTCGGCGTGAATGGCGAGACGGTCGCGCATCCCAACCGGTACTTTGAGCGCAGCTATCTGCTGGAAAAGCAGGCGCAAGAAGCAGGCGCAAGTGGCGAAGGTGACGAGGATGATGATGAGGATAAAGCCGACATAGGCCCTGCAGTATTTGGCGCGAGCGCTGACGATGCAGCCGCCGCTGCAGAAGCAGAGGCCATAGCAACAGACAAGAGCGGAGGCGCACCAGACGACGCTGTCCAGCTCACGCAGAGCGAGTTTGGCGTTGATGACACCATGGCCGACGTCGACGAGGAGGAGCTGCTCGCGCTCGAGGCGGGTGCAGCGCACGCGCACGTACAAGCGCGCTCAGTCGCGCAACATGGCAGCAAGGGCAGCAGCAGCAGCATGCCGGCTGGAGAGGGACAGGAGGCCGCTGGCGCTGAGGCTTCTGCCACTCCAGTGGAAGACAGCGCGAATGCGGACATGCTTGGTGGAGAACAAACGCAGCGCCAAACGGGTTATTACGCTCAGAAGCAAAGCCAGGCTGCGCCTCCGTCACAACAGCGGACAAGCGCAACTGCAGAAGACCAGCGCCGAGGCGCTGCCGTAGAAGAAAGCGCTGGCGATGCGACCGTCGAGCCATCAGAAGAAACAAAGCCGCAGGAGGGGCTACAGGCATTCAGCGTTGTTGCTGAACAAGATGCAGGGCTGTCGTCAGAGCCGCCGACAGCGGCAGCTGCAGCTGCCGATGCATGCACTACAGGTGCATTTGCTCCTACAAATGACGAGCCGGTTGATGACGACGCGACCATGGTAGATGCCTAGACAAGCCACTTGATTTGTATGATTCTATTTCTTTCCTCCTGCTGCAATGATAGGTACAACCCAAATAATGACGAGGCACGACCAGAATCTCCCATCGATGCTTGTTCCCCCTTCGTTGTCCTATCCGTGCCTTGATTCCATGAAGCGATATATAAAAAGATTATAATGAACATTGCTCCAGAGGATAACTCCTGAAGTCTAGAGATGCGCGAAGCAATCCGGTTTTCTACGACGTTTGAATGGCGCGTTAATAGGGCATGTAGATCTTGATGGCGTTGATGTCAAAGTACGCCTCCGGGTTGGGAGTGTTGGATACGTACGTATTGCAATCGCTTGCGACGGCGGAGCACCCGTCGGTGGCCCACCTGCCGGCGACGTAGCCACCGCAAAAGTCGAGATTCATGGTGATGATCTGGTTGTCGTTGAGGTGGCTAGCCGAGCAGGTGCTGGTGAATGGGAAGCTGACGCTGGGGTTGCCCCACGTCGTGACGTCGACTGAGCGCGCGTCGTCGCGCTTGGTACCTGCCGGCGCGTCCTGCGAGCTCCAGAACCAAATCTTGAGGTCGCTGCTGTCGCGCTGGTACGCGTAGACGCCGCCCTGGTTCTGGTTGAACCGGTAGCCATAGCTAATCGTTTGGTCGGTCATCTTGGCAGTGCAGCCATTGTTGTCGTTGGCGCCGTTGGCGCTGTTGCAGTCGTAGTGCACGCGTGAACCGGTCATGCCCGAGTTGCTGTTTGGCATTGTGCAATTAGGGCCCGTGTGCATGCTCGGCGCATTCGGCGCGCTCGTCACGCCGTTGACGCCTTCGAGTATGTCGACCTCGCCGCCATACGGCCAGTCGTCGGAACCTGTGTAGGTCCATACCGCGGGCCAGGTCCCGCATCCGGTGGGCATGTGGGAAATATCGAAAATGTACAGGCCTAGGACGAAGAGCGGAGCCAACTTGCTTAACACTCTGCGACAATCTTCATGGTATTCTTCCCCTGCCCCTGGACTCACCTTGTCCGTAACGAGCGACAGACTCGAGCCTGATGCTCCTCCGAGCGCCGCCGACCTGCTTCATGTCTGCGCCAAACTTCAATCCTCCATTCGTGCCGGTTCCAAACATATTGTTCGCCAACGCGACGCTCTTGTTGACGTACTGCACATAGCCGCCGCTGGGGTCGTCCATGGTGCTAAAGACAAAGTTGGCGAGAATGCTGGAGGGTGACTCCCACTTCGAGCTGAGGCGGTAGCCACGTTTCTCAAGGCTGTGCGGCGCTTCTGCATCACCGAGAATGCTGCCAGATGCCGCTTGCACGCGGACGGTGGCAACAGTGGCGAGGATGCCGCTGAACGCGGTGGCCAGCGTTACTATGGAGGGCATCCTGGGTGGTGTTGATGCGAGGAACCCGCACGCGTTCGGAGAGCAGGGCAGGACTGGGAGCGGATCACACCGACACGCATGCACACACAACCTCACAGCTTGGCAGGATCGCCGATCAGCAGGTCAACGAAGACCCCATTTAGAAGAAGAACAGGGGCACGAATGGCGCTGTCATCTGTACTATATATATAATCTCTGTGCCGAGGGAGGGAATAAACTCTCCTCGTCTCGGCCCCCATTTAAAAAAGACGTTGGGCTCGGGGTGGAGCAAAGCCGACGCGGAAGTGCGTCAGTGCAGAGGCCGTTGTGAAGAAGTCATTGGGTTGAGCGTTTTCACCTTCAACAACTAGAATCTAGAACTAATCTGTGGGATGATGATATATCTCCATTTTACTACCGCAAACGGCACGCTCTCTGTGCTGGTGCCTGCGCTTGCCTTAGGCAGCAACCCAGTGCCCCAGAGAGCAGTCGGTATTTGGCAGGCAAGCCTGGGCGAGCCGCCCAGCACAGCCGCTCAGGAAAAATCGAAAAGGAACTAGATGCGGGCGTTAATTGATATTTTTCAAGTTCCCCGTTGCGACCCTTTGCTGAACATGGGGAATAGACTTGGCCGGGAAACCTGGTAAATGTCTGATCCCGGAATACAAGAGCCTCCTGGAAACAGTGTCGTTCAGCGAAGCGGCTACTCGAAGTTGAGTTAGGTAAACCCCCCCCCCCCGAAAGCTACTGCATGACCACTCTTTGTGTTGCTAGTAAAGGTGGCGGTTCTGTGGGAATTGTTCCTACCATACCACCAGAGCACAGGGCCTGGGGCTTTGGGGCCCCGGACGCTGCTGTTCTGGGCCCCTCTTGTTGTTTGCACGGTCTAATCTTGTTCACAAAGAGGACGGGCCAGAACATCAGTTAAGTACAAACCTTCTCATCATCCCAGCAGCGTTCATCGTACCACCCAGCACCACCATCAGCTTCGCCACGGCACCTCGTTGGCCCCGGCCCCTTCTACATCGGCTATCGCACGTGTTCCTCATATCCTACTGATGGAGGATGATGCAAAGATGCAATGGTGTCCGATGGCGGTAACTGGGGGCTGTGCGGTGGGAAGTAGGTGGCACCAGGATTTTGGGCAGCAGCGTGACCAGCGTCGCGAAGCGATGCATGGCGGATTGACGGATGAGTGAGACTTGCAATATCGGGCCCATCAGTGTCCAGTATTGGCTGTTTGAAGAAGCCGGATCAGCAAGCACTTGAAAGATGTGCCTACCGAAGGAAGTGTGCGTCTCGTTGGTGTAACCCGACCTGATTGATTATCCCAGCACGGGCTGCAGAGAACTAGGAACAGCACTGCTCGGGACGCGTGACGAATGTGTCATTCATACTGCCTGCCTCTTGGGGACTCGAGCTTGCTGCCGGTGCAGATCCCATTGAGTGAATGAATATGAAAAGGCATATACATGTTTGAACTTGTCTCGTCACTCCTGCCTGCGTACGTGTGCGCACAGATCAACTTGTCATGGATTCCTCCAACGGCTTCCACTCAACAGGGATGCCATACACCACGCAAGCGGCGCCAGTGAGGAATGGCAGCCGACAGTCATCCCTAGCCTGTGCGATAGCGAGCGGAAGCGTGACCGGCGCGTCCGCGATCGGCGTGACGCGCTTCTGGTTCTGGCTCGAACCTGGCTCGCTCTCGGCCTCCTCCACCTTCATCAGCCCCAGTCGCACCAGCGTAGACTCTGACACCTTGTCCAGCTCCCGATCCGTCGTGTCCCACAAATTTGCCACGAGCGCCGGTGCACCTGCCATCATGTACAAGTACGGCGTGCCGGTCCGGTCGAACTCGCCCAGGTCGCGCAGCATGCCGCTCGAGCAGCCCCAAAGCATCGTCACCGCACAGCTCCGAAGCGCCTTCAGCGCGGACGGTGCGATGAACTGTTCCCCGCCCGAATGGCCGAAGTACATTAAGAGGTCGTGCGTCGCCAGCGCATCGGCAAATTCGCTCACGATCGGCTCTCGGCCGGTGATGCCCTTCCACATTGCGTGCCGCTGCACCCACGGTCGGAAGCGTTCCTCGCTACGTTTGAGATCGCCGCTCGGATTGAGGACGTAGAAGGAACGCCCCTGCGAAAGCTGCATTGCACCGTCCTTGGTGACACCGTGCAGTGCGGCCAGCTCCAGTCGGTCCTGCAGAAAGACGAGCGAGGGAATGCGGCTGACAGATCGGCGACGCAAGATCTGCATCGACTCCCACGGTATGCTGCACATGTCCTTGTCGAGGATGAGAAAGGTGTGAGCAACAGAAGAGTTCACTCGAGACGACGACGGCGATGAAGATGTCGAACGTTTCGCCCAGGATTCCTCCAAAACCGATCGCAGGTCCACAACCGCACGATCAAAGTCAATCTCGTCCACGGCGATCGGCACGCCGTTCAGGAGATATGCGTCTGCAAAGAACCTGAGCATGTCCTCCAGGTCGTCGTTGGGGCAGTCGATCGCTAGATTGAAGAACAACTCGAGGATGCAGTCTTGAAACTTGACCTTGCTCGCCTTCTTTGATCCATGCAGGCATGCTGTACGCAAGACGGTATCCAGGCGCGCACATAGGTTTGCAGCATCATCTGGGGTGAGTGCCGCGTTCTCTGCGAACAGGGCCTACGAAATGTTGTTGTCAATGCAAGGTGGCATCGCCGAAAACCAAACTTGGCGAGAGTGGACTCACTTTGTGCCATCCTAACCAGCTTTCCTCGATCATCTGCAGCACCTCCTTCATCCGATGATCCAACGCCCTCCGGTCCGTCCACCATTTCTTGCGAGCATCCATACCTTGCAGATCCTTCGCTGCGTGGACAGTAGTGTTGGATGTTTTAACGATATTTGAGAGCTCGCCTAGAACAGCATCAAAGGTCAATTCATGCTCTTCGCCCTCGTGGCGACTCTGCCTATCGATCGGGATGCTGAAGACCATTGTCGATGCATCACCGCGCCGCCGAGAGATGATCAAGCTGTTGCGCTCTCGGTCGTAAGAAACAGAAATGACGGTCCAATGGTCCGGTAAGGAGACGGACTGGTTACTGCCATCCGCGAGGCGGCACTGTGCAGCTTTCCAGAATTTGCACATGTCTTCGGCTCCCGCATCGTCGTCTTCGTCGTCGCTCTCCAGTTCTGGTGACCTTACCCCCAGTTGTGGTGACCGGTGCAAGGCGTGTTCCGCCTTTGCTTCATCCTGAGATGCAAACCAATCCGGTGACTTGGTCTGAAGAGAAGTGTCGACCTTCATCCTCAGAGCTTCGGCGTATTCGCGTTCTAGAGCGACGCTAACACTCTTCGCCAGCGCCGAGCTGATGGCTTCCAATGAAAGCGAAGGTTTGCCAAGACTCGACTCAATCAGCCCAGCCAAGACAAGATTTGTCCCCGCTTCTCGCTGCAAGAGGCTGTGCGGCACACCATCGGCTCCAGTGACGATGCTTGAAAAGTCCTTTCGCGCAGCTGAAAGGGCTGACAGAGGGACGGTAACTGACTTGGCCATTTTTGAGCTGCGGCAGGTCGCAACGAGTGGCATGGCTATCGCTGCATCTGCAAGTGTTGCGAGAGCGCGATCGTGCGAAAGCGAAGATTCGGCTGTCTTCATAGCGATGCGCCCGCGAAGCAACGCTCCTTCTTGACGGCCATCGGCAGAAGTTTCGACAGCCGACGCTTCCTCCAAGAGGCGTTTAGCCTCACCTTCACTGTTCAAAAGGTGCATCAGCCAAGCTTGCCGACGTAGCAGTCGAGCATGCACTTCAGGCAAGACCTCTTGCCTCCCATTGATACTCGATCGACGGCTGGTCTTCCCCAGCTCGGTTGAGGCGGCCGAAAGCCTCGCCGGCGGAGCAGGCGATGGGAGCGCGGTGTCTACCTCGGCGAATGCGGCATCGAGAGCCTTCAATATAGTTGAGCTTGACATGAGAAGCGAGAGCGCGTCTGCTCGAGATGCCTTGCTCAAATCATTAACTTTGACGAGCGCGTGATCAATCACCTCCGGTGAAGGTAGATCGCTCAGCATGGAAAAGGCTCGTTCGAGGTCGACTCGACTGTCTACGTCCTGATTGAGCTTCGCCCGCAGTTCAGCGCGATGGATGAGGGACCGTGCGCCGGCGAGCGATGACGTAAATTCTTTCGATGTCAAATTGTTCGTTTCCGAGGCGAACAGCTCCGCATCCATGGCAGAGCCGCGCAAGCTGTACAGACAACTTAGTCGGTGAGAAGCAAGAGACAGGTGACGCGATAGGCACCAATACAGCTGCTGCGCTGCAATCACAGCGCCGACGGGATCAGCCTTGGTTGCAGGCGCAACAGTCACAGCATCAAATAGTTCTTCCAGAGGGGCGCCACTTTCTGCATCCCATGTAACGAACTTCTTGATGAGAAGCACGGCCCGCATCAGCCGCTTCATGCTGGCAAGACCGGCACTGATGCTGGTGGCCAGGTCACCCTTGGCAAGAGCGAGAGAGCTGAACACGGAGGCAGCTGCAGCTTGTCGCTCGAAAGTCAGCGCTCTGTGCCGACATCGCTCCCATTGCGTCGTTTTTTCCGGTGCCGCCAGGTCTCTGGCAATAGCAACAGCACGTTCGTACCGTTCGCTTGCATCAGGCAATGACCCTACGCGAATGAGGTGTTCGGCACTAGCGAGGAGGCACCTGAAGTGGGTGTCCGCCAGCACATCACGACCCGAGCTGTGCAAGTCGTGCATAAAGGTCTTGATGATCGAAGACGCGCGCGAAAGGCGGCCGAGGAAGACATACTGGCGGGCAAGTGATGCAGAAGCTTGGAGGAAACCATCCTCTTGTTTTGCACCGCCAGCCATCTGCCAACGGAGCCGCCGAGAGACTTTGAGAATCTCCAGCGCGGCAAGGGAATGGCCAAACGCACCCAAGAAGTCCTCTGCGGTCTCGAGTAATTTGGCCAAGTGCACAGGGTCATCTATGACCTGAGTCAAGACATTGAGCGGCGCGCGACCCAGGGCCTTGCCAGTATCCTCAGTAAGGCCAGCAGTCTGCATCGGTCGTCGTGGAGGCGTGAAAGGCGGGGCACCAGACTTGGCAGCGTTACTGCTCCCCTTCACTTCTGTCTGTTGTGCGGAAGAGAATCGTGCTTTGACCATGCCCAGAAGAGGGTAGATTGCCTGGCACGCGTCATGTGAAAGCTCGTTCGCCCGCTGCACGGGTGTTGGAGACGATTCGTACCGCCGCCCAATGATACCCAGAAGGCACGCCGTGGCAATATAGCTGGACCTCAGACTTTCAAGCGCCCAGTCCTGCCCCAGGTCTTGCCTCTGCAAGAGGTCCTCTGCTTCCGCCAGTGAGGTAGCGCATGCTTCGACATCTCGCAGTGTAATAGAGAGCTCGGCCTCTCGGAGTCGAATGCGAGCGAGTCGTAAGGGCTGGTGTGCATCAGACAGAAGCTGCGCACACCGCCCAAGAACCGCACTGCAGGCCTCAGCACAGCCTTCGCGATGCATCATCGTAGAGAGAAGTTGAGTGGCTGCATGCTCGAGAAGCGATGCAGCGGCATCGTGTGGCGCGTTGGCGAGCACGTTCGACAGGCCAAACGATTCACTTGAGTTTAGCGACAGAAGCAGTTCGAACGTCGTGAAATCGACGATGGCTTTGATGTGCATCGCGAGGCTAGCGAATGGCTTTTCGACAAAAATTGAAGTGGTACTGAGGGAAGCTGCACGCTTGGCGAGCGCTTGCCATGTAGGGACTGATACCAGAGACAAGACTCGCGCGTGTGCTTCGACTGCACGCCGTGTCTGCTTAACTGCGCGATAGCATATTGCCATGTGCTCCCATTTGCGCGATAGATCCTCCCTAGATGCCTGCGAAAGGCTTGAGTTGACTTGCTGTTCTTTTGCCAGCGACTCGGCTTCTTCCCCGAGATCGCACGCCGTTCGGAGAAAGTGTTGAGCCTGTGCAGCTTGTCGTGCGTGATATAGCCGATGACCAAGCCTGTACCATGCATTCGATAGCATGTGCAGGAATTTGTATCGAGCATCTGAAGGGATCGAGGCCTTCGTCGATGGAACCTCCGCCAAGCGGCGACACTTCCCCAATGTCTCTTCGCAAAATGCATGCGCGCTGCTCTGGTCGCGAGCATCTGGGTGATGCTTGCAGATGATTTCAGCGACTTGAAGCGCTCCTTCGAGCATGTGTTCGGCGGTGAAGGTCGTATCCAAGCTGGGGCTCTCGCACATGCTCTCATACCATGACTGCAACGCCAGCAAGAGACGCAGCAAGGCATCGACTAGGCCGTCATCGCTTCCCTTTCCCTTTTCGTTACGCGTTGGGCTAGCAAAGGGATCGGCAAGCGGTGTCGGCGTTTTGGATTGGTCCACTTTATGCAGGAGTATCTGCGCACGCTTGCGCATGCCCTCAACAAGGCCAAAAACTTTCACGCGCTCTGTCAGGTCGATGTTACGCAGGTGAGAACATATCGCAAGAACCGCGAACTGAGCTGGCTCGAGCGCGCTCAGAACATCATGGTCATGAGAACCCTCATTGTTGAGCCTGCCTTCCAGGATGAGGGCGGCTTTGCGCAACTTGGAACAGTGCTGTACCAGGCTAAAATCTTTGATTGCTGACGCCTTAGACGGACTCTTCGGTGGACTGCCGACACTTAGGTCTTGCGACGGAGATGGCGGCTGTTCGCCAGTGGAGCCGGACGCAGCAAGGTTATCGATGACGTTGAATGCATCTACCGATCCCGCCTGTGTGTGTCAATACGTCGTCAGTCAATGAATCTTTGCCCGGACCTCATGTCCCTCATTGGCTCACTTTTGTTGCCAGTGAAGACCAAACATCGAGGAAGCTGACGAAGCCCTTTGACTGTTTATCGAGCTTGCCGAGCCGAGTCGCCGATTGTGTCAGGTCCTTGTATACCTCATGGACGTGCACAAAGTTATCCCTGTTCCATTCGGCGACACTGCTCCTCTCAAGCGATCTATCCCCTCCGTCCTGTTCGCATTGCTGGCGCTGCCAGGCCTCCTTGCAGTATCGCATGTGGTTGTGGCCAAAGCGCATAGCTCGATCCCAGTAGACATCCATGTCAATATTGGAGGCAAAAAGTAGAAGCGCTGCGGCGCGGTGCCGGGCCTGCAAGACATAGCGGCTCGAAGGGTCAAGCACTGGCAATCGCGGAGACGGCCCACTGGCTGAAGATGTCCCATTTGATTGAGGAGCAGAGGGGATGATAGTTCTGGTTTTTGAACACGAGGCGGAAGATGCGGATGCCACAACAGCCTTGTCACTACTGACGAGGCGCTCGACAGTACGAGAGACGTGTCGCTCGATCGAGTATGCCACCCTGTCTAGTTGGCTGAGGAGCTCGGCGGCAAGGATCTGTACCGCGGGAGCCTGTTCAGCCTTCACGCTTTGCTGTGCGCTTACTTCACTGTCGGCAACTTGTCCTGGTGACACCTGCGGCTGCTGTGTAATCTGTAACGCAAGAAGCGGCGCCAAGAGTGCCCTCCCGTATCGCTGCCATCCGAGCGGGCCAAATTCCTCGGCCAGTATCTGCGACACGCTGACGAGGTCTTCCCGCGAATGTGCCAAAGATAACGCGCATGTCAGGGCTAACGCTTGTACCTGCACAAGAAGAGTTGTGCAGCGGAGTTGTGCTGTCATCTCTGCAGCAAATTCGCCTGACGCTAGTGGAAATGGTATGAGAGCAGCGCATTTTGTCATCATTGACGATCTTGATCGAGCAGATGGACTAGCCAATGAAGTAGTTGTGGTTGCACCTAATGACAGTAGGCTGACAAGATCGGCACATTCTGCCAATGCCACCTCATTCTGTAGGGCGCAAGCAAGAAGGGCGCAAGTATATCAACGCGGAGAACAAAATTGTTTGAGCTCGTGGCGCTATAACTCACCAGGCCTAGCCCTTGCAGCTTCCTGACAAAGACGTATAGAACATTTTCTAGTTTTAGGTCCGAGCCATCTTTCTCGGAACCCGTGTCCTGATCTGCGCTCCGCCTCTGAAGTTGCACCTTGTCCAGATGCAAAAGAAATTTCGCAGAGATCCTGAGCCCATCTGCCAGGGCCTTGACGTTGCTTTCTGTGACCTCCATAATCTTGGACACGTCAGCATTTGTAGCCCGAGACGCCGGTACTTGAGAAGGGATGGCAGATCGCGCTGTGGATGCCCTGCTTTCAGTCGTAGGCGCTGACCACTGTGCGGTGAGCAGAGTATTGAGAGATGTGAGGGTAGCGTTGATGATGTTCTTGCATATCACTGCCTTTTGATTGGCATCAAGGTTGAGCAAGGAATACTCCTCACATTTTTTCGCGATTGAGGCCGACCTTGAAGTTGCTGCGGCATTTGACTTCGGGGCCGCTAATAAAGTGAGACTGAGCGCGTCCGCCGTCGTGCCAAGCAGAGAAAGGAGCTGGATACTCTGAGAAGGAGTACATGAGGCGGGTTTGGCAATGACTGTCTTTAGGGCCACGAGAGCTGACTCTGCCGCAAGCGAAGCTTGTGAAGCTTTGGAAAAAGAAGGTGGCCTGACGACCGCTTTGGCGACGGCTGCAGGTTTTGGAGCGCCTTTGCTCGCTGATACTGGAGCACGATTAGCAGCCTTGTCTAAACGAGGCTGCCCGGATGTGATTCTTGCTGCAGATGACGAGGGCTTGGACGCGACCGCAGAGCCTTTTCCTTTGCTCTGGGCAGGCATGACCGCACTGGTCGTATCGACGCCAGCAGTTGGCGAGCTTCGTGAGACGGGTGTCGTACGTGAGGAATTCGCGGACTTAACCTTGCTACTTGACCGAGAGCTGCTTGCTGTGCTATCGGCTGGTGCATGGGCTGCGGTCATCACCGCCGCTCGCTTCCTGATTTGCTGCTGAGACGTGGGTGCTGCTCCTATCTCGAAGCGTGCAACTGGGTCCTCTGCACCCCCTGCAGGCGCCGTTGACCGTGTCCGGCGGACGCGAGTCCCACTCGCTGTTGGCTCAGGCATTTTGGGCCTTGTAAGCGCATCTGCAATATCCTATTTGTGCGCGCTGGAAATGTTGCCGTGGAGGCATTCAATAAAGGAAGAAGCGGGTGCGTCTGAAGTCTGAACATCGAGTGATTCTGAGGATGTTGCTGAGTGTTGGTTGCAGTCGCGCGCACAAACAGAGGCCTCAAAGCGCGACGCGCTCTCGCGGTCAACGCGTGAGCCGAGCCATTGTGCACAGCGCGCGGCCCACCATCAGGCATCGCACAACTCGCTAGAACAGCAAGGACTTTGGTGAGTGTTGGATGCAGCATCATGCATTAATGCTATTGGCCGCTTCGGGAGCCGATGAAGGAATACAGGCAGCTCATCGGACGCCGTAGAGTCAGGCAGTCAAACAGGGCTGACTGAAATGCTGGATGTCTGCAAGAAGGCCAAAGTCGCGTCACCATGAATCGTCCGGATGTGACCCCGAGAGCAGCCCTTCGCAGCATCTCGCCTGGCGAAACCTCATCTACCTCAGGATCCATTCAGAGCCACAGCACAGATGCAGACACAGAGGTGCAAGGCTCTGCGGATGAGTATTCGGCAACATACTCATCGTCGAATGCTTCTCAAACATGGCCGCAGGTAGGCGAGAGCAGCCGCCATACGACGCAGGACTCGAACGCTTCCTCTGCAGGATCATCTAGCGGCTCGCGGCAACAACCTAGGCGCCAGCACTCCTTAAGAAAGAACAACAAGGGCGGCAATGGAAAGCATTGCTCCTTCTGCTTGCTTGCTGAATTCGACATTGACAAAGGATCAACGTTAGCTTACCAATACCCCGAACCTACGGGCCATGATACTCAGTAAGCAACGCACTCGCGGAGAGACCTCCAGGTTCTTGTCTGACCCCAGGCTCCCATTCCCATGGCTTCAGCGTACTAGCCGAATTGATGCTACCTGATGGTGCCCATGCTAGACACGAAGACTGGACGGTATTTTTCCTCAAGCCACCAAACCCGCAAGAAAAGAAACGGTCTGCGTTTGACGACTATGACTCCGAGAACAACCCAACTTCCCGGCATCCAGGTCCTACTCGCCTTTCTCCTCCAACACCCACAGAGGACCTGACTTTTGTTTTGAATTTGGTACGAACCAAACACGACAATACAGTCCGACGAGGGGCAATGGTAAAAGCGATGTGCATAGGCACGCGGCATCCGTATATCCAAGTGTTCAAGCCTTTACTTCTTGTGGCACTCGATCGTTACTTTAGCGACCCGGGTCCGGAGCACCTGGAGCGACTATACGAAGCAGTGAATAACCTCGAACTTTCCGCGATGCCAAATTTTACTCGCGAGGAACGGCTCGTATTGCGAGGTAGCGACCGACGTGATCTATTCGAGGAGCGCTTCCTCAGACCTGGTTTACCACCTTCCGAGGACGGCGACAGCTTGAATGCCGATGCCGATGCCGAAGATGAACAACACAACGCCTCAAGCAAGCGTAAACGCTCTGACGCCTCCTTGGCGCTGTCATTGAGCGCCCTCAAAAGCGTCAATACCGACGTGACGAGCCCGACGTCCTCGTCAGACGATCCTCCGCCATCTGCTTCGCAGTCGCTATCGAGTCTGGGAGGCTCAAGTTCCCGCGGAAAGAAGAAAGACACTCGCTTCTACTCAACGATGGCATACTACAATAAGCTTCCGATACCCCTGCACATCCCTCTCACCATTTTCCCAGAGGAGATTGGTGATTACTCGATGATCCAGCTGGTGCAGACCTTCTCGGGACCTGCCTCCATCCCAACAGGACCGCAGCATCCCCATCTCCACTCGAACGGGAGTTTGACGCATCCAATCATCCTGCTGTTCAATGCAATGGCGACCCAGAAGCGAATCATATTCTTGGGGCACGGGCAGCCTGCAAACACCGTTTCCAGCTTTGTGCTTGCTGCCAGTGCGTTGGGCTCTGGCTGCGGTGTTGTCTTTGAAGGTTTCGCCGGGCGTGTTTTTCCCTACACGAACTTAACCAACCTGGACGACCTTGAGATGGTACCCGCATACATTGCTGGCGTGACAAACCCGCGGTTCGAAGATCTGCATGCCTGGGACGTGCTGTTCAATATCGAGAACGGCAAGGTGACTGTTTCAAAAAACATCGAGCCTGCACCACCTATGCAGCCGAATCCCCGTCCGGCGCTCAGCAGGTCTGGTTCGCTCTCCAGCAGCGGCGGTGTAGGGCACATCGCAAACTCGTCCTCGGCAGGGGTCGGTATTGACTTCGGCGTTAAGGCCGGTGGCTCGACGATGCTCAGCAACAGGGAGCGAAGCGGCACATTCGCAGAAGCAAAGCAGGACGCAGCGGATAACGCGTTCATCGAGGATGTGAGTGCCTGCATTCGGACGAGGCCGCACCTGATGAGACCGTACTGATTGCTAAGGGGATCCGATTCAGATCCTTGCGGCTATCCAAGCCCACTGTGGCGAGGACTACGTCCGGCAACGATTTGTGGAACATGCTCAAAATTTCGCTCGCATCGTCGCCCGACACGAAGAACACTTCTACGGGCATACGTTCATCGGCCCTACCTCGCAGCCATTCCTGAACGGGCAGCTCGGGAGCGGTGCGCTGCCTTATGGAGACCGCGATGCTGAGCTCAGGGATATTCAGATCAATGCCATGCGCGCCGAGGGGTGGCGAGGAAGCTACAGCTACAAGATGTACAGGGAGGTGAGCCGTGCCGGATAAAGTGGTATGCTGTACGATTGGGCAGCTGACGATTCAACGGAGCGCAAACAGGACGAAGCGCAGCGCGTAAGAACCCGGTCCATCAGCGGCTTTGACTGTCCGTACCAACTCGGGCGCCTGCGCAGGTCGAAGCTGCTTGCGCTTGGCGAAGCACAGATTATCTTTGAGACCCTCTCGCGATGTGTTCAGACACCGACTCAAATCGTCGAGGTGAGTAGGGCGCTGAGACTCTTATGCTCATGTCATTTACCCAGACTGAGGTGCTGCCCCGTACATCCTCACAGCTACTTTCCCTGCTCCCAAGCCATTCTGGCGGGTTGACTCCTCTTGCGTTCGGAGTGTTCCACCCATCAGCGGCAGTCCGGGTGAGCGTACTAGATCTGTTCACCAACATTGCACTTCATCCAGTTGGCTGCAAGCTTCTGCACGGGCTCAATGCCTTTGTCCGATTAGCACTTGCTCGCAGCCTCAATGCGCGCGCGGAGCAGGGCAGGTCCAAGCAGAATGGTCTCTGGTCGTCGCCCACGCCCACTTTGGCCAGGTCGCGAGACGGCATGCCGGCTTTCTACAACAGTAACAATCATGAAGCGAGCTACCTACCAAAGAACTGGAGCAGCCTTCTCCCGCCGTCGTCGCAAGCGAGCAGGTCTCCCTCGCCTGCGTCCGGCATCAGTGCTAGCTGAATGGATTAACAAAGACACCAGCGGTTAAATGTACAAGAAGACATTATGGGCCCCCATGGATGTAGCGTATGGTATGGCCATCCTCTAGGATTACAACACGCCGCCGACAAAAACTGATGCGGTCCATGTCCACCTATACTTCTATCTCGTATTCATAATAGCTGCCATGCTGCCAAACGCCGTGCCGTTCGTCAAGCTGTTCGGCGGGGGCGGCCTGACGTCCTATGCGATTGATTCTTCGCACATGTCAAAGAGGAGCTCCGCGCCAACCTTGAGCTCGTCTTGGTCAGGCATAACGTCTTGACGAGCTGCAGAGGCGCGCCGTAGTCCGCTCTCGTGAGGTACACGCGCATCTCGGACGTGTGCGGAGCTACGATCAGGTAAATGGGCGACGGCACGTAGGGGTAGAGACCCAAGAACTGCCAGAGCAGCTCAGCAGGGAGCACGCTGGCGTCCGTTTTGCCAGGGTGGCCGTTGACATTGCTCGTGTGGTTTTGCGAGACATTCTATTGGTTGATATCAACGCTGCGGTCTTGATACCCGCGCACATAATTGTATGCTTACAGGCAAGCAGATAGGCAGCCGGTGAAACCGCATGCAGCTGGCTTCAGCACGACCATGCCGCTAGTCCCACGGGTTGTCGAGCAGGGAGAAGCATCACTCACTGAAGGAGGCCAAGAAGGACGGCTCGTTGCCGATGTTGACGCGGCCCTTTTCGAACGTGTTGTCGAGCTTGCTGACGAACGCCCATGGCATCGATCAAGCCAGCAATTTCCTGCGACGCACCGATTCTGTACTCCCCAGAGCGTCGCCTTGTACGCATAATCACTCCAGTACTGCCAAACGGGCTCGTTGCAGGGTTCGCATCAGCACCGCGCTGCGCATACGCTCGCCCCGGCAAAAATCAAAATGATATTTTCACTGACTGGGACGAGCTTGCCGCTAGCGTTGCGTGGCCATGCGAAACAGCTGTAGCCGAGCGTGTGCAGGTTCGGGTTGAAGATGTTGCGCCAGTTGGCGGAGCGCCGCAGGTAATTTTCATGGTCCCCGGCGTTGTGCAGGCCTCCTGCGACGCTTACGAGTGCAGAGTCGTTCGTGGTGTACTCGAGGGAGCGAGTGAAGTTTGGCTGTGGAACACATGGGCACGCACGTGGTTGGAGTAGGGCGCGTGTTCAGTCAGTTATCGGGTCGAGGTGAGCGCATGAAAAAGGGAATAGATGCCCTGTTCACTTTGACGTAGGCGTATGCGAACCACTCGGAAGCGCGCCTCTGCCCCCTTTGGTGCGGTTTTTGGGCAAATCCGAGTCATTAGTGTTGGGCGGGACAACCTCTGGGTCCTTGCACACGCTGGCATACGCCTACTGCCAGTCGATGCCCAGCTCGGCGCCCGGGCCTTTAGTCCAGGCGTCGCAGAAGAAGCTGTCGACGTTGGAGCTGCTCTAGGTGCGGCCGTTGGGGATGAAGGCGCCGTGCAGCTCAGGCGTCTGGTACATGCCGACGAGCGAGCGCAGTATGTCGATGTAGCGCCGCTTGTCGAGCAGGTACAATAGGGAGGAGCAGCTGCGGACGTCGTCCCAAATCGTAAGAAACTCGTCGTAGTCCGGCGTGCCCGGCGCGGGGAACTGGGCCGACGGCGCATGTCGGCCTGCCAGACTGCGTCGGCGTCAGTGGACCCGCCGCTGCTTGGTCGCTGGATAAGGTGTTTTCCAGGTAGGCGTAGAGGAACGTCGCCACCTCGCACGGCGGCGCGCTGCGCTGGCCGTCGAACACGTCGCAGAAGTGGATGTTCCCCGTCGGAGAGGGGTTTCAGCCGACCGCGAAGGACGCCGTACTGTTCTATGCGCTCGTCGCTGGGTCGATGGAGATTCGGCTGCCCTGATACGTTTGCGTAAACTTGACTGATGGCTCGGTGCAGGTGGAGGCAGGGTAGGTTGGGGACAGAGAAGGCACAGCGCATTAGTCAGTGGGATCTAGCTGTATCCAACTTGAAAGCATCTATTGTACGCTCAACACTCACCCTCGCCGCTGAACGCAAGCAAACAATGCGAAGCGTCGATCAAGATGAGGAAGTCTTCTTCGCTGCCGCTGGACGGCTTCTTTGGCTAGTCAGCCTCCCCGGCGACAAAATGCCGCTGGGCATGCGCGGCGGGCCGCCGTATTCCGTTTGAGGCTCCTTTACTTGCGGCTCTAGCCTGGAGATTGCGAGCGCAAATGCGATTGCATATAACAGATCATGTCTATGTCCTGCGTCGCCGCCAGCTCGACGGTGATGCCGTCCTGAAGGGGTGCAGAAGTAGCCGAGCCTGGCGGCGTCGTTTCCTATGCGTGCTCAGGCTTAGCTAACATTGTTCGCCAGATCGACACTCTACGATGCTTTTACACCCGCGGCTAGCCACCGTGGCCGCGCTCGTGCTCTTGCTCTTGCCCTCGCCGGCCCTTGCTGCCGGTCGGCTGAGCGGGCAGGGGCATTTGCGCGACAATACAGTATTGGGCGAACCGCCGGTGCCGCTCTTGTGCGGCGACGAGATGGCGCTGAGGCGGCCCGCTGGGGTCCAGCCACTGATGGCGGAGGCGGGGGGAGAGTGTGTCAATGTCGAGCTTGACCGAGCGTTGGGGGCGCAGCTGCCGGGGAAGATGTAGCCGCTGTCCTGCATACCGAGGAGATTGCGTCATGCTGGGTGTAGTTCGGCGCGGCTGCGCCATGCCGGGGATGGAGACGAGGCGGGCAAGGAAAAGCGTGACAAGGCAAGGGAACAGCATCGTCGACAGACTTATGTGGAACATTGCAGACGGTGCCGCCTGTTGGGGAGAGCAATCTAGCTCTCAGAGTTCCGACGGCAGAAGAGAAAGAGAAGAAGAAAGTCCGACAATCAGGTCGCGGCTGACGAGGTCTGGCGGTACGGGAGCTTCCGTCCTAAGGCCACAAGCAAGGTCGAGCAGCGGGCACAGTACGGGGGAGGGGG